GAGCTGCTCTTCACTGCTGTACCACTCAATAAATTCGCCTGGCATACGTCATGTCGGAGACTCTGCTTCAGGGAAACCTAGGGTCAAGCCTGAGGGGAGAGAAAGCGCCCGAGGGTGAGTGTGTGTGTGAGCGAGGAGTTGGAAAGGGGCACCCGCCAGCTCAGTGGAGCTGCCCGCTGTGAAGGGACTCCGGTCCTAGCGGTTAAAGTCTCGGGTGGTGTGTGTGCGACTCCCTGGATGGTGTGTGAATGCTTGGGCAGCTGCTGCTCCCTTAACATTAAGGTAACACAACTTACATACATTGACTAGAATAATGCTCTTCACATGTTTTCATAGAAATAACATACCATCGCATATTACTTTTATTTGTGCTGGGATTATACAAGTTACGAATAAATCTCTCTATCCTCGCATAGCAGCTGGGTTCCCTCCAGACATCCCAAGTCCCAGTACCCTAGCCCTGGGAGCAGAAAAGGCAGCAGAACTCGGCCCTCCAGGAGCAGCGTGGGCCCATCAGCAGCACGCTGTGCCGGCTGGCTGGGGCACGGCAGCACAAGGTAGCGGTCACCCATGTCTTTGCGGCCTGCTGCAGACAGCACTGCCTTCCCCATGGAGGCAGAATACTTCCCTAATGCATGGCCCAGAGATGAGGTATCCTTCCTATGGGTAAACGCTGACCCAGACTGGGAGCAGGGTGGGGACACCCGGCCTGGCCCACTCCATCCTGGGCAGTGGGGCTGGGAGGTACCTGGGAGACGAGCAGCAGGATGCTGTACTTCTCCAAGCCTGGCTTGGTATCCAGCTCAGGCATGCTTGGGGCCCTCTTAGCTCACTTCTTTGGCTGAGCAGCCAGAGCCTCATGCTTCCTCTTGGCCACCACCATCTTGGCTGCACCACACCATGTCAGAAGTCCCGGGCACTTCCACCCATTCACACTTCTGGCCCTCTACGGAACTGCTGTGCACTTGGTGGGGTGTCCGCTATGCCGCTTTTTGCGCAGTCGCCCACCAGTGGTGAGCCGTACGTGCTGGCTGCCAGTCTGGACAAGGCCTGCCACATCTCCAGCCTCCTCAGAGCTGTCCACTTCCAGGACCACACCACCTGCTTCGCCATGGCCAATGGCCTCAGGGTGACGGTGGAGGACACCAAATGCATCCAGGCTAATGCCTTCATCCAGGTGGGGGCTGCACCCCCCCACCTGGGCTGCAGGCCCTGGGCCCGGCTGCTACTGATGGGGCAGCCTGTCCCCAGCATTAGCGATGAGGCTGTACCAGATAATGCTCAAGGTCAGTGTTTTAATAACAAATCTCCCAGGCAAAACATCACTAATCACTGCAGAGCACAGCAAACTGCAAAATCCAACACCAACCTTTAACATGTACTGCAAAAACAAGGGCATGGTGCAAATCAGGTAGACTAATACCAAGAACAGATGAAGCAATACTGTGACCCACAACTGCTAACAGATACAAATTCCTTAATACACTCTGGTTAATCTGTTATTATCTCAAACCCTTCGAGCCCCACGTTGGGTGCCAAAAAGGACTGTCGTGGCTTAACCCCAGCCAGCAACTAAGCACCACGCAGGTAAAAGTGAGAAAACTTGTGGGTTGAGATAAGAACAGTTTAATAACTGAAGTAAAATGAAATACAATAGTAGTAATAGTAGTAGTAAGAATAATATAATAATATAATAATAATATACAAAGCAAGTGATACACTATACAATTGCTCACCACCTGCTGACCAATACCCAGCACGTCCCTGAGCAGCGATCACTGCCCCCCCAGCCAACTCCCCCAGTTTATATACTGAGCATGACGTCATATGGTGTGGAATAGCCCTTTGGCCAGTCTGGGTCAGCTGTCCTGGCTGTGCCCCTTCCCAGCTTCTTGTGCACCTGGCACAGCATGGGAAGCTGAAAAGTCCTTGACCAGTGTAAGCACTGCTTAGCAACAACTAAAATATCAGTGTGTTATCAACATTATTCTCATCCTAAATCCAAAACACAGCACTATACCAGCTACTAGGAAGAAAATCAAATCTATCCCAGCTGAAATCAGGAAGCATTCCAAAGCCAAAAAGGTGAATTTAAGTCAACTTTGAAAGAGAGTACATATTCACAGACACTCATACACAGCGTATCAGCTGGGATAAGCTAAGAGCTTCCAACCACAGGGCAGGAGTGTGTGATTCATCACAAGACTGGAGTGGTGGTCTGCCCCTTTTGCTCTCTGATTCTGCCTGTGTTGAACTTTGTCCAGAAAGGGTGCTTGAGAGATTACACATAGACAGAGGATCTCAACTACATTGAACTGTCCATATAGGCAGCTTTAAATAGCAATCTAAAATATTTCTTCTTAACTTGCATTTAATATAAGATCAAAAGCAGCCTTGTTCGCTTTCTGCTACCTTTTTCCTAGCTGTGACTGCTGGCTTTGCTTCATTTTAAATTTTTAAGGTGAACTTTTAATTTTTTCTTCTTTTAACAATGGTTTACTTTCTGGGTGGTTTTTTGTTTGTTTGTCTTTATTTAATGCATATTCAACTTCTAAATGCTTTGTTCATAAGAACAGGCATTGTGCTGGTTCCTGTTTTTGAAAGCACGTATGATACCGGGGATGTAAATGGAAGGGGTGAGGAATATTTTATGGTAGTAACTCAAACCCAGCTTTACCTTTCTTCTGTCCTTTGGAGTCTGTGTCTTTGCTATCTGTGAAACTGCAGTCTGAGCTGTGCATGAAAGGGGAGAAGCCTGAGTCTCCCTGTTCCTGCATCTCCCTTTGCTTTCTCCTGCTCCTGCACAGTCCTTCCTTACGCTAGTGCTGTATTTGTTTGGTTAGCTTAAGCTGGCTTATGAAGTGGACAGTGTGTGCTAGTGGAAGTTAAGCAGCAGGAGCAGGGAACAGAGGGGGATGGTAGCAGGGGAACAGTGACTGGAGGTTCCTTTGAAAGTGTTGAGCTGTTAGGTGAGTTCACCACTTGCTGAAACATGCCTTTGGCTAGTCTGATGGGGGTAAACTACTCCAGGCTGCCTGCCGTTTGCCACTGGGCACCAGCTGAAAAAATAAATAAATATTGTTTCTTGAGAAGTGTGGCATTTACATTATATAGTTCCCTGAATGTTTCCAGCTCCAGAAGTAGGCAGCTTTAGGCTTTAACATTTGTAGCTTGTTTTTAAACTATAAAAGACAAAAGTTTAGATTTTCATGCTTATACCACACTACTTTGTTTAAACCATGACCTGATTTTATTATTAGTTTTTGAGGATGAAGACCTGTTTTTCTTTAATAGATATTGTGTTACATGTAGAAATCACTTTGTATTACACTGATCTCTGAAAGCGAAAGCACTGAATTTAAGGAGATAAGTGTAAGCTGTAAACTAATTGCAGAAACTCCCCTCTCTTCATCTTTTTCCTTTTTCTTATAGGCAGAAATTCTTCAGGAATTTGCTGCTCAGGAGGAATCAGTGATGTTCTGGATCAATTTGTCTGTTCTTCTCAACTGCTTGACCATTTTTGGTATCAGTTCTTTGCCAGGTATGGTGCATATTTACCTTGACTGTATATGTGTATTGTGTAATCACATAGTGAAACCTGTTTGGTAGTGTTACCCGTTTGGTACGTGACATGAATTGGATTTGAACTGGTGTCTACATACAAATCATTTCATTTTGCTGGATAACCATTAACACTTTGAAGGGTGTCTAGGAGGCTACACTGAGCATGCTACATTAGTGTGTTGGAGGCTGGACAAAACATGCCAAATCAAATTGATCTGTGCCTCATATGCCAGTAAAATCTGAATTTTCTAAAGTGATCAGATGTGCTAGCTAGCTCTCTGAAGAATGTATATTTCATTCTCTTTTTCAGGAACATCAACAGCCCTTAGGATGTGTTATCATGGTTATGGTTATCCCTTGATGCTGTTCTTGGAAGAAGGAGGAGTAGTGACAGTGTGCAAAATTAACACTCAAGAACCTGATGAGTTGTTAGACTTTGATTTCTGCAGTAACATGTTGTTAATAAAATTATCCTGCAGTCAGAGGGCCTACGAGAAGCATTTGCTGAACTGGATTTGACCAGTGAAGTTCTGCAGATTGCCATGTCTCCAGATAAACCCTACTTCAGGTACTGGAAACTATGCTTTCAACTCAAATGGTCATGCTTGGCCTTCCTGCTCTTCAGTGGGTAAGGACTGGAAGTTTTCAGGGTGAAAGGGGGGAAACTGTCTTAGAATATTGGTTTATTTCAGGAAGAATTGTAATGAATATAGCAAATCACAATATGTAATCTAATTAAGATAGTAATTAATATATTGTCAACCTGGTAAATGTGACACTGATGCGGACAGTTTAGCATTTTTAATTAAATAAAGCAAAACAAACAGTAGTGTTTTGTGAAACAGCCATTGAGATATGCAAGATGACTGAGTCTGATGAATTTTTACAGAGCTGCGATCGGGTTTTTTGAGATGGTGCCTTTTGTGTTCCAAGTTATCCACTTTTGGAAATGCAGGAAGTATACATCTGGACTACCCCAGGGACTCTGATTTGATGGAAGCATTCCACTGTAACCAGACCCAGACAAACAGGTTAGTAAGTCTGTGATCAATGCCCTCTATGGCAGGTCATACATTCTTGCTGGAAAGTTTAAAAAACTGTTTTTGCATTACTGTGACATTTATTTCACTAGTACAGGAAAAAAAAGTACTTCCCATCTGATAAAAGTCTGTGTCTGTGATCAAAAGCTAAGCGATAACAATGTCTGTCCAATGTTGTTACCAGGAAAAGATCAAATTAGCACATTGGTAATTGTTTTTTAGTTATTCTATGGCTTTAATTGGGAGCAATGTTTCAGCTCCTCTCTGCACAATGTATTTTTTTCAGATGACTTTTTTTCTCCCCTGCAGTTACAAGATTTCTTTGCTTAAATCATCTACAAAGGCACTGGCTTTATCTTGTGAAGTGTCCATTCGAACAGATACTCAAGGATTTCTTTCACTGCAGTATATGATTAGGAATGAAGATGGACTGACCTGTTTTGTGGAATACTATTGTTGCCCTGATGAGGATATTACTGAAGCAGAACCGTAGGTGTATGTTTTGACATCTGTATTATATTTATGGATATATAAAATGATATATTTTTTATAAAACTGAATGAAAGCTGTAAAGATTAATAGACTTGATATTGTCTTTTTTTTTTTAACTGTGGAATTAGAAATACAAAGACTTCCTTTTTATTCCCTTGCAAACATTTCTTCCCAATAGCCTTTGTCAGCAACAGGAGGGACTCCTAAACTGAAGTAAGGGAATGTCTGCCTGTGTCTCATGGAGTGGTGCATTCATATCACTGCTAAAAATAAACCTAACTTCTTACTCACTGAAAAGGGAGGGAGTGTTGTTTCTGGAGAGTTTTCTGCAGCGGCTAGCTTTGCAAAGCAGTGAGGTGGACTGTACTCAGGTCAAAACTTGCACTTCTTTCACACCTCTCCATTGCAAACAACCTGCTCAAAACAGGAGGTCCATTGAAACAGATGCAGAGACTGCAAATCACGCTGCAAGAGACTGAAGTCTTCCTGCCTTGCTGCCATGGGGTATGATCCAAGAGTCAGTGATCTGCGGGTAGTTTTTAGAGCTTTAGACTGTAGTTGAGTTTTGTTGTTTGTCAGAAGATGAGGTCCTGCTTTGCACATGTGGAAAACAGTATGTTCATATGTTACCAAGATGATTGTTCCACAGTTCAACAGAATCTAAATCCTTTGGGTTTATTTTAAAATGCTTTCGTTGACCATTTTTCACCTCTTACTTATGTCAACAAGAGTACCCTTTCAGAGTACACAGCATCAACAGTTCACTTTTTTTGTCTTCTGTGCAGATCATCCATTTATTGCAATAAATTTTATATTTGAAAAACAATTACAAATCTTTGAACTACAGGACTGATAATGATACCTAACAATATTCTAAATTACTCTTATTTACTGTATTTTTTTTTCAAACTTAAGTATTCAGTATAGGTGAATTTCCTTTTGGCTTACTGTCTCAATTTCTTCAGTGAAAAAAATTATTGTTATGGTCTCATTGGGAATTATTAATATTATCCCTGACTACTGAGTGTTAAGAATGATTTACATAATCTCTGGATGACAGGATAAAAATGAAACTGAACACATGACAATGATGTGATTTATTTTAGAGTATCAAAGTTACTTGTATTGTGTTCAAGGACATTACTGTGGCTTAACATTTGTACTTTTATATAATTGACTACAAATGTACTATATTACTTCTTAAAATAGTACTTTTCACAATTTCTTCTATAATCTACCAACAGTGATCATGGAAATAATATCCTAAGAAGTCAGAGCACTGCAAAATACCAGAAAGTAACTGTTGCATTTCATAAATAATAGCTATTACAGACATGCAAGATTTGTGCAAGACTTACGTCTGTACCCCACAGGACCAAGTCAGGTGCTTGTGCACCTTGTGCCTTTGTGGATATGGTTCTAGGTGGACAAAAACACAGAGAGTCCAGGCTACAAAAAAGAAATTACTGTGCAGTAAGGCAAGGAGTGGATTTAGGATCTACCTATGATGGCTTCTATTACATCTCTGCCCTCAAACATAGTAAAATAAAAAAAGGGTGAAGAGGAGAATGACTGGAAGGCCACTGCACATCTTTTTGACCTGGTAAGCTGCTTAAATTCCTCAAACTTCCACCGCTGGATTAGATCTAATTTCCTACCGCACTTTGCATTAGATCCAGAACTCAGATGACAGTACTTTTAGTATGTTTTATCTCTTCTACTTGACAAGTCTTTTCCCCTTGCAGACAATGGGAAATCTGCAGTAGAAGAAACATTTAGTTCATGGGCTTTTTTTCTTTAGTAGTATCACAGAATGGACCTATCATGGATCAGCTTTTGCCCATCTTCCTTCTTATAAAATAGTACATAAAAGTACTCAGAACTACTGGTGGTATAAACTGAAAACAGTTCCTGGAGGTGGGAACTGGAACCAGTGTTTTCCACCCAGAATCACCATAGTGTAGCAGGTGCTCCCTGGCTGCTCTGATTAACTGCATTTGGGGCTCCGGGCAACCCAGATCCAGAGGCCACAAAACTGACAAATGACTTTTCCTCCAATTATTTTGAGTTGTGCTTTTCAGAGTAAGAACTGACCTCAAGTCTTCCAGAAGGCACCTCTTTTATGACTTTGGCTCCCAGTCCTGACAATCTTTGTGAAACAAAACACTGAAGATGCTAATATTATCTCTTACTTCCCAATATGTTAAGTTCTTTGGTCTCTCTGGCTTTCACATGTTGAGGCCCATCCACAACCATTTGAATCTGTAAGAGCTGTTAAGCACAAAATTCCCCAAAAGGAATTAAGTTCTATAGCTCTGTTTCAAAATTAGTCATGGGAAAAAATCAGTTAACATCTAATTACATATGGATTTATAAGGAAATATATTCTTGTATTCTTGACATCATGGTTTAACCCCAGTCAGCATCTAAGCACTACACAGCTGCTCGCTCACCCTCCACCCTGCCCTGGTGGGATGGGGGAGAGAATCAGAAAAAAAAAAAAAGTAAAACTCATGGGTTGAGATAAAGACAGTTTAATAGGACAGGAGAGGAAGAGAAAACAATAATGATAATAATAATAATGATAAAAGAATATACAAAACAAGTGATGCACAATGCAATTGCTCACCACCTGCTAACCAACACCCAACCCATTCCCAAGCAGCAATTGCTGCCCCCCAGCCAGCTCCCCCCAGTTTATATACTGAGCATGATGTCATGTGGTATAGAATAGCCCTTTGGCCAGTCTGGGTCAGCTGTCCTGGCTGTGCCCCCTCCCAGCTTCTTGTACACCGGGCCAAGCATGGGAAGCTGAAAAGTCCTTGACTAGTGTAAGCACTACTTAGCAACAACTAAAACATCAGTGTGTTATCAACATTATTCTCCTCATCCTAAATCCAAACCACAGCACTATGCCAGCTACTAGGAAGAAAACTCTATCCCAGCTGAAACCAGGACACTTGACTAGGAAGGGTCTTTGGTGCGGTTAGCGGAATAGTTAGAAAAGTTGAGATAAGCCCCATGCTGTTTCCTGTAGGTGGCTGTTTTGAACTTCATTTTGTAGCAGCTTGTAAACCCCTAAGAATCCAACAGGTGGGTCTTACAGAAATAAATATTTAGAAATTGTATAAAGAATTATAGAACACTAAACAGTGCTTTTGCTGATAGAACACTAACATTAAACTGAACAAATACAGAATTATTTTAAAAATTTGAGCTATTACAGAATAGAGGCTTGATGCCTTCCCGTTGAGACAGAAACTCATTTTTATATGAATCTGTCTTGGGAGGGGGTGGAGGGGTGGCAGGACTGCTTAGGTAGAAATAGAAGCTAAGGTCCACAACAGGCTGCTTCATCCTCTTTCTACTGTGCTTCTCTCCTTAGCTGGGCTCTAACAACTAACATGGCAGTGTATTAGCATTGGTAAATCCAATTGTAAGTGCTCTGT